CTATTATCTAAAAAACGATTAAATAATAAAAAAAAAATGATACACGTTGTAAAGTTAGGTGTTGAATGATATCCAGCAACAACCGGTAAAAATCGATAACAGTATACATAAGTTTTATCACACATATAAGAGAGATCGTAAGAAAAATCGCGAATCCATCTCGATTTCACGCTTCAAACGTGAGCGTACAACCTTTTCCTCACGAAATTGAATCTCCAGCATCACACGTACGCGATGCAGCAATGCACCATAGAGTGCGAGCATATGAAATTAAAATATGCCAGGTCTAACGCTCCGGGATATCAAGTCATGCAGAAATAAGCACCAGTACAAGTAAAAGCTCTATATAATGCACATGACTGTGCAGTCAAGTAAACTCCGTACTGGTGAGTACAACGGACTTTATCATTTTTCCATCCACCAGTCCAAGCTCAACCTAAGTCCTGCCATGCTACCCCGTGCACCACGGATCGTGGAACCTCGAACGGCATCTGCCCTCGTTATGAGTGCTTTCTGCCCTGCTGTTGTACTGTGCTACAACATGGCTATCGTTAAACTTGTTATTACTACGTGAGATTACACTTATAACGAGTATGACCTCGTGTTACACATGTTTTAAATATCGTGTACCCACTTTATGCTCCTATCCAGACACATAAATACGTAAACACTCGTACGCATACATACGAGTCGTGTTTAATAGTTTGTTTTATTTTTATTTCGTTTTTTATTACATACGTATATTATTATTTTTTTTTAATTATAAACCACTGATTTATCTTGTACGACAGTTTTTCACGCTCTAGATGTTAAAGCGGTGATTATATTTGAATAAGTAACCCATTTTTCTCTTTAAATTGTTATAAAATTCAATGAATAAGTAAAAGTTAAGTCGCCGAGAAATTTTTCTTTATAAATAATATTTTAAATCGTCATTTATGAGCTTTTACTTATATATCATTTTCTTATCGGGTCATATATTGCTCTTTTCTACGATGCATTCTGTACTATACATTGAAACTTAATTTAAAAATTTATGCTCACATATAAACGGTTTGATTTGAAAATTAAAAGCGCATATTTTTGCTGTATATCAAACCTTAAATTCAAATTAGCCTTGAAAATTATTTGTTATTTATGTAAACGTGGGACAAATATACTGTGAGTAGGTAAAAATCTATATCTTTTCGTTTATTTTTGAGTTTTCAGCTTCTTCCTTCTCCTCCTTCTTCCTTTACTTCCAAATATAGTAAATCGCCGGGAAATCTATCCAGCCGTAAGAAATGTTAAATGTAAATCCCGGCTTTTATGTGTAACTTTTCATTTTATTTTTTCTAAAAAAGTTTTTCGTGTTCGCTTAAAAATACGAGATGTGAAATCACTGACATATTCACTGAATCTCAATAATTTTTTTTTAGACAAACATTTATTACTCTAAAATATTTATGTCTTAGAGATTTTCAAAGTTTGATTAGACATTTATAAAAGACTTTCTAGATTTATGACGTGGGTTAAATAGGGTTTTCAGGAAAACTCGAGGGTGAATTTTAGTTGGAATTTAAATGGAAAGTAATACTGCCTTTTTTTAAGTAGTAATTACGTATACTTTCATTAAGATTAGGGTCATGCTATAATGAATTAAATTATTGTTACAGAGTAAATTTTGCTAATTCTTTTCGAATTTTATAGAAATGTTATCTATATCAGAAAAATTTTTTTCTTAAAAATATAATAATTGTCAAGTCACAATTTTAATTATAATTTCAGATTAAAATTTTCAATTTTTTACAGTAATTTTCTGAGTAAAAAAAATTTTAATAAAAATTCGAAAACATCATTTTTCTGGCCTCACTCAGTGAGATAAATAAATTATGATATTCTTCCGATGTAGAGATTTTTTGTTTAATAAGAAATTAATAAAACGTGTCGTCGCTATTTATGTTTTTTATAGCACTGATTTTTTATTTGTTTTTATATTTTTTAACGCTTAGAATTAGAATAGTGTACGAGCTTCATCAAGAAACTCAAAATTAAGTCAAATTTACATTTAAAATTTCACAAAATTCATATTTGACAAGTAGTTGATTATTTCAAAATATCATACGTGGTTTCGAGTTATGAAATTTAAACAAAAGACAACGCAATTAAATTAATGTAAACAGCAAAAAATATAAATAGAAATTGAAAATAAAGTCCGAAAAAGTATTTATTGTGGTAAATAAAATAAACTAAATATGCAAAGTGTTTAAATAATTCAATTTAAATTCCATAATTAATTCCGTAGGCATCTTTTGTCTAGAACATGAGGGATGATGACGATATAAAGTTTAATGAAAGACAGAAAATAATAAACGAGAGAAAAAATAAAGACCCGGAATATAGCAATCTAGACGTTATCAACGTGTTTTGAGATAAAAATTAGCTGAGCTCCTAAATAAAGGAAAAAGTTTGTTAGAGGAATTAGAGTGAGTTACGAATTACAATGACGATAATGATAACAATAAAATAAAAATGTGAGAAAAAACAGGTGATAAGATACCTCGGGGTTTCAACAGATCGTTACCGAAGACGAAGACACATAAAAACGCGAGCTCCGTGGACAGAATATAGCCACGGGTGGCCGGTATAAAACAACCTCAAGCTAGCGACCCGGTTCGTTGCAATCGTTGATAAACCATCTACTCGTTCTCTTGATTCCCAACAATCCTTATTTTGTTGTACAATCTATATTATCGTGCAATTCAGCTATACTACAGTTATAGTTTAAGTTATAGTCGGTGAAGACCAAGAAAACATTATATCGTGTCACTATCACACTGTTATACCTTTCATCTCCAGGAATTCCCGCAGACATTATCCACCCTGCTGAGATGTGGTTATTCGTGTTTCAATCGTTTTATTTCACAGATTTACGGTATGATAACACTAATCTTACACTTTTACCGATTGGTGGTAATCAGAGGGTGTTCATTTGTCGCGTATAATCAGCGGTTTTATTGATCAATCAATTTTTTATCGTATAGCTAAACATTTACTCCATAATTAATTAACATATCTGATTGACTAATTAATTAATTATGTTATTATTGATGTATTTATTGACGATCAAACAAACAATTTGCTTCAAATCAACGGTGATATACATATATATTATGATACACACATATGTGTATAACAATTTCATCTTGTATTAAAAAAGCTGTTTTACTTTAATACAACCCAAACTGTGTCAGTCTTAAGGCGAATCCAGCGTGAATACTTTTCGATAGATTTTGACCATTTTTTTACAGTCGATGAATGATTACTATGAAATCTTGATGTTGAAAAACTTTTGGCCATTTAGAAAGCGAAATAAGTAAAAGTAATTTTCTATAATTTAAAAAAAATTACTCGACTGAATTGGAAAAAAAGCTCCGTCGCAAGGCTGAAAAAAAAACTTCCAACTGTTGATTTGAAAAACAGGATTTTAATTATCTAACAAAAAATGGAACAAAAATTAAATTAACTGTAAATTTATTTAATAATTGAATCTTATACTCAAAATATTTACAATAGTTGTAACGAAAATTTAAATAATATAGTTAACATTGACGTAAAACGTGGTGTAGAAACCACTGATAAATTTTTTCATAACTTTATTATTCAGTTACTCAATTATTTCTATAACACACTCATAAGGCAAAGGAATAGCTTTCCTTAGTTGTGAAACTTTTTTCAATTCATCTAAAAGTTTAACTCTTTTCCTCGCTGATCTTATCCTCATTTTAAGTAAATGTCCAAAATAATATTCATCGAACTCATAATCATATGATTTTTTGAAAGCGGTTGCAAAATATTTTACTTTTAACTAAATTCGTAAAATCTATTTACTAGGACTTTAAAAAAATTGAAATACACAATATGACGCACATCAAGTACGTTCCAAAATTGTTTTTTTAATTTTTAAATTTACAACAAAATTTTTTTTAATTTCCGAAAATCATAAACAATCATATCGGTTACTTGGATTTTTTAATTTTTTTATTTTATATCTTTTTGTAAAGAAAAAAACTAATTTTTTTTTCTTAATAGTCTTATGAACGTGGACTTGGCGCGCTTTTTTTACAGTGAAACTGTTTTTGTTCGGATTTTAGTATTTTTTGTAATTTTAATAAAAATTTACAATTGGTACCAACTTAAATCTCGCGTTGGCTGCATTTTTTATAGCAAACTATCCCTTTGAAGCTACAGTTTATGTAAAAATAATTCCAGCGCACCCTAGCGGGTGTAGATGCAAGCTGTGAAACATCTTTTTTTAACTGTAGTTTCCCATCTAATAAAGGATTACTATGCACTCTCGAATTATTTAGTCTGTGGCAGATCACTTTACCCATCGAAAAAAAGTCAGGATCGAAATTTATATTATTCGTTCAGTTGAACGTTCGAAACTTCAAGTACATGAAATTTTTGCGTTGCTATAGTTTGAGCTGATTAAATTTAGTAATTTCAAGTAGATTAATTGTTAGAAGTGAATATAATTAATTAATAACAACAAAATAAAGTATGAATTACTGTTATAATACACAATTTATGAAAAAAAAGTAACGTAGAATTAAATAAAATTTTGCAAACCTCAAAATACCGTTCTGCTTACAGAAAACACAGTCGGTAGTCTGGCGCTCCGTTGACAACGGATCTGAACGGAACTTGGCACCAGATTCTACCGAATCTGTGGATTAACTTTGAAAATAATATTGCTATCACAGAATCAATCACCAATTATTTACAGTAAGTTGTAAAATTTCGTGAATAAATAGTAAATTTTCTTCTAAAATATTTGACAATTAATAGTAATGAAAGTATAGTCCAGTATTAAAATGTTTTAAAATAGTTGTATCGTAAATTTTCCCAGAAATTTTTTTCCGTGTATGGTCGTTCATTTTAAAGAAAATTTTGTTCATTGAGAAAAAAAAATTTTTGTCCAAAAAAAAATTTCTTGGCTCAAGAATTGTTTAAAATCATCAATTTTTTTCCTCTTCAGGTACCCGTAAATCAAACGTAAGTCTATTTATCAAGTCTTTCAAAATAAAAATTTGACGTTTTATTCTTCGTCTTTCTAATTCACATTTTCCAATGTGTCTATTCCTTTCTAGATTATCAAACTCTTGAAATGGATAAAAGTATTCATTAGGATTTCCAGACGGAAGCGTACCATAATACAGAGCTTTAGATTCGTTTATAGATGTGCTATAAGGCAATAATTTTTTAAGCATTGTGGAAGAACCTCTGTAAGCTGCCATGTTGATTAACAGCATGTCTGGATCTCCATTAACTGTTGCATAAATATCAGCACCAGCTTTAATTAAAATTGCCACAAATTTGCCTTTTACATTGTCATGAATCTCCTATTCTTGTGCAACATATCGGTATTTTCCATACCTTTTTGGGTGTAATAGATAATGAGCGTCAGAAAAGCCATCATTATCACGAATATTAATGAATGGTTTGTATTCTGCTTTTAATGTAATAGACTTTGCTGCCAAGATATAGTTATTGTCTGTTTGTTTTATTCCTGCGACTTACCATTTCGAACTTGGCTTGTTCAAATTGCATCAAGCTTTTAGCTAGTAAACTGCTTTTCTGTTGAATAGCAATAGCATAAGTTAACATAGTCATTTTATCACCAAAATCACTGCACCACTTTTTGTCGATCACATATTTCGAGAACATAGCATGAGTGATCTCAGCATTGATATTTACACCAGATATTATCAAATAGATTACTATATATACATGTCCTAGCAAACAAGCAATATGGATAGGTTGAGTTCCACCATTAGCAACTGCATTGACATCCGCAGAGTTACTAATTAATATTTAAGTTCCCGTCCATATTTTAAAATATTTAAATGATTAAATCTTGGGAATTTGGACAATAAAATGAAGATGTTAAATTATAAGAATTGCATCGTTTCGCTGATTTATTTCAGCTTCATCAGGCAAATCTTTCGGTTAGCATCCTCGTCTCATTTTTACGAAGTCAATAGATGTAATAGAATAAAACAGCATATTCATAATCTCAAACATCTTTTTAAATTACAATATTAACAACTTGTTAAGATTTCTCTCAAATACCATTCAAATTAATAAACTAATAATATAAAACAAAAATTCAACAACGTCTATCTGTCAAGCGTGTTTACAACACGCTTAATTATTATTAATTAATAATTCGATGAGACTCATGTTATTTTCAAAGCAGGCATAATATTAAATAAGTTAATATTAAATAACTTAAAAACACAATGTAATGTGGACACGAGGTAAGTCGGTTTTTGTGTTACAAACCGAGGAAAGTTGTGTTCTTGACAAAATTGTGACTGTAATTTATCTCAGTTAATAATACTTAACTGGTTTCTTCAGAGAAAAGACAATTTGTATTTAAATTGTAGTTATTACCCGGTAGTCTGGACTGAAACTTTATGAGAGCATACTGTTAGTATATTCCAGTTTGCGTTAAATCATATGTTTGAACTTTTCGCAGCTACTGAACATATATAGGTGTCTACTATTGTTCTCTCGAGCTCACGCCAGATCCTTACCCTGAATTATTAATATATCGCGTCTCTCACACCAAGTGGACGTGAGGGTTATGTGGTTCTATAAAATTAGTCTTAAAAATTATACAAAGTTATTAAGTAATCTAAATTGGATTTTGACTTATGACGCGGTAAAAATTAGTTAATTTTTTTTATAAAACTTGGCATTTATAAATATAATAACAATAACCTAATTGTTAATCAAATATGATTGTATAAATACTAAAAACATTTTGTTTCTGAGTAAAAATTATTGAATAAATTAAAAATTGCTTAGTATACAATTTATACTATAAATTCAAAATAACAGTTATTAGTGTAATTGAAAAAATATAGTTTTGAATCGCTGCTCACTACATGCTTGTCTGATTAAACCCGTTGATGCATCAATAAATTGAATTGAATTAATTATAAAATTTGTTACTATTTATGGTAGAATATTGATTTAAAAATAGATATCAATAATGTGAGCCGGAGTTTAATTTAGTTAAAAGCCCAAGCTTTTGATTGATATTTCGTACATTTTCATTTGAAATATTCGTAAATATTGGTGAAAAAAGAGATCACTCTGCAAATATTAACTTCTACTAAAGGTACATTGCTGTATGAATTATAGGATATCTAGTATAAATTCCAGGATATCCAGGAAACAAATTAACATGTTTTGGATGATAGTACAGAAGTGATTATAATACACTGTAAAAAACTTGAAGAGTCACTGGGAGAGCGGATAGTTTTAATTATATTATTGGATCATATTGGTGGATTTACTTATTTTATTAATAAAAAAAAACTCAGCAAAGTAAATTTTTTTTAATTGAATAAAGTATTGAAATATTAGTTTTTATTCATTTAAGAATTACAAAATACGTCTTTAGAGATTTTTAAAATAAATACAAACTTATTTTTGGTTTTTTATAATGGATAAATTTTAATATCGAAAAAAAATTTCCATCAATTAAACATTGAAATAAGTGATTTCATTTAATTAAACCTAATAATATTAATAATTTATTATTTCTTACTCGTTACATCAGAATTTATCAGCATGATTTAAAAATAGAATCATTTCTATAAAAATTTTGTTTAATGTTTCAAAAAAGTCAAATTTTTATAAAAAACTTGTATTGAATAATAGTATTTTATTTCTTCACTCCGTTACTCTAAGCGATGGAAATGAAAATTCACTCCCGATTTGTCACAATGTAATAAAACAGTAACAGTAACCTACAGCAATAAAAGATCTATGAAATTCAATCAACAATAAGACTCTAACACAATAACTTCTTATCAATATCATGCATGTACTTATTTATTACGATTTACAATATATATAATATTACGTGTAACATAAAGTCATTAATATACCAACAATTAAAACTTGTTAGATTCCTCATCACACTAGTCGTTCATTCGCAAGATATTATTCCCACGATAACCGCAAAATGCAAACTCTGGTCGTAACCTTTCAACCCCTTCTCCGATTGTACAGAACAGCGGAGGGTGGCGGGTATATATAAATATACATATATATTTGTACCAACATCGAGATAACTGGGGCATCGAGTATGGCATTTCTGCAAGTGATCGTTTGAAATGATTCCTAACTAGAGAAGTACGGGAGTCTGGAGTCTGGAGTCTGGAGAGTGAATTGAGCATTAAGCACGATGAACTAATCTGCCAAAGTTGTTTAGTTGGTCGGCTAAAATTATGCAAGAGACAGTAGAGTAAGTTATCGTAGGTCACCGTAATCCATTAATGTATTGTTATTTTATGCATAGTTATTTTTTCAAAGTTTCACTAGCGATTAATTAATTGACACCTCAAAAGGTCGAGCCTCAAATTTTGAGAGTCTTTTTGCCGGAGAATTTCTGATTTTAAATCGCTAGACCCTGGACAATTTTTCGGTCACAAATTTCTTTTTTTGAGTCACAAATGACATTTTTTTTGTAATAAGTTTAGTTTTTTTAGTTAGATAATAAACAGTAAAAATATTTTTAAAAATTATGTGACATATTTCTTTGATGAACTCAAAAGTGAAAAAAGTAGACAATAGTATGGAAAAAAAAATAAAACTTTCTGTAAAAATATGGAAAAAAAAGTAAGTATAAAATTTAATATCTTAAAAAGCTTTAGGTGTCATTTTAAAAAAAAAAGCTTGAAGTAAATTTGAGCAATACTGAAAAAGTTAAGAAAGACATGAACTATTTGAAAAATATATCACAGTGTAAATGTAATGTAACATGTTAAAAGTGGCTAGATGACAGTTATGATTTTGAAAATTGTCAGCTGGTATGTGGGACATTTTTTCTTGGAAAATGGAGTCGGTAGAAAAAACTTCTAGTATCAAAAGTAAGATATCTTGGATGCGATTTCTCTAATGGAACGAGGCTATAGAGGTATCTCACATCCTATAAAATTGCCGACTGATAAGGGTAAGTGAGATGAGATAGTCATTCGGACAAAATAACAAGAACAAACTAAAAGCTTTGCCTTCAACTTTTGCACTTGACTCTTTATTCTATAATACAATTGTGTTTATTTTTTTTTGTTTTTCTTTTCTTTTATTTTTTCTTTCTTTTTTTTTTTTTTCGCTGCTGTGACATTTACAAAGCAAAAGCTCGTTTGGAACGATGGCTCTGTGGATTCTCAATGAAAGCAGGGCGAAATCTTAAAGGCGCAGATGCCAATGATTGTGTACAGCTGTCACACGCGTATAGAACAAAAACCTCTTATTCTTTCCTGGCGTTTTTTCCGTATCGCTTGGATTGTGAGTACTCTAAGGTGAGCTCCACTCCGAATAGACGGAAATCCCGGTGTACGGACAAATTCAGTCGGTCATTTTCGTCACGTGTTAAGAAAACGATCGGAGACAATCACTACGAATAACAAATAAAAATATATATACTGTAATAGTAATACTAATAAAAATGAACGGAATTCTATGGGATGCTGTTTCAAAATGTAGGTCGTATTTTATTTTTTGTCATAAACTTTTCAAAAAAATTAAGAAATTTAAAATTTGATTTTTCCTGAATAAAATCAATACAAAGAATATTTCTCTAATGTTTATTATTAAATGTTCTTTAGGTTTCAAAATGAAAAAATTTACCGTAAAATATGTTTTAAAAATGGTTCGATAATAAAAGTTGTTCGAATTTTTTTATACATGAAAGAAAATTAATTTCAGTTTTAAAATTTCAGAATTTATGCACACCTACATGAAATTTCAACTTTTTAAATATCACAAAAAGTCTTAAAATTTTTCTTTGTTATTAAATATAAAAAAATACATTATTGAAATTAACAACAATTATAAATTTTCAAAAAACTAAGAATTAGGTATTCATCGGCGATCCAAAAAAGAAAATAATTCGGACACTAAATTGTTCATATATCGATGATCTAATTAGCAATTTGTCTAACTCCTTATTTTTTTCGAGGGTGATTTTTTAACATTTTGATGTAGCAATAGTCACACTATAAATTATTTAAATGATTTAAACCAAAATACTATACCCGTATTAGATATTAATGATATTAAATGGTTTTTTAAAGTGATAATAAATTTTGAACTAATTGTTTTTTTCGTACAAATGGAAGATTCTCTAAAATTCTCTAAAATAGAGTTAGACAATTTGCTAATTAGAACGTCGATATGTATAAATATTAACTACACATAATGCAGATTGTATACTTAATTTTTTATGATACTTTCTTTAAAGCATTTTATTAATTCAAATTAATTTTTGTTTTACAATAAAATAGTTTATTTTCCATTTTAAAACACAGCAATATATGATATACATTTAATGTAACGTAATAAAAAGTTTTGAAAAAATTTGACTTTAAATTGTTAATTGACGTTTTCAAATCTTTGTAAGCACAATAAATATTTATTAACAGTCTCAATCAGTCCCATTTTTTTTAATATGACTTTACCTCGCCACAAAAAAAATCTCTTAAAAAATTACGATGTATATCCACCGCATTTTATTTTAATTATAATTTTACTTTCAATATTACATAACACGTAGACTTTACACTTTTGTCTACAGTCGAAAACAGACAATTCATTTTAAAAAGACAGAAAAAGTTCAAATAATTTTTCCATTTGGAAAAACGTTTTAATATGAGTGAAACAAATGCTCTTAACGTGAATACTGAAGGGTTGAAATCGGCAATTTAACCCAGTTTTTCCCACATGAATAATATGTAATTGGGTAATAAATATTAATTTTTTAGCACTTTGACTTCTTATAGACTTTTGAAATGTCCTGGTTTAAAGTCATTGATATTTATTGACGTTTTTAGTTTCTTATAAATATTATAAACTATAACACTTTAAACTGAAAAATATAAATATTTTAAGATGACCAGAGAAATTAATTTTCATCATTTAGTAAACGCCAAAAGCTGTCTAACTATATTAATAATAAATATTACTTAATTTAATGGATTTAAGATTAAATATAAATTATACACGTCAAAAATCATTAGAGATTCACTCCGAGATCGATTTTAATTAAAAAACATAAA